ACCTTTAGCATTTACATAGCTACTTCGCAACAGAAATTCTGCCAGAAAATTTGAAATTTGTTTCACATTCATTAAAAACGTTTACAGAACATGTACCGGTTGTAAGCTGATATAACCCTTTTTCGAGCACCTCATCAAAACTCGCTGAGGAATTTTCTAAAAAAACGTCTTGAATTCGAAAAATGAGAATTCGCAAAGGTTCAGCCATTTCTCCCCTGGCTGATAGCTATAGAAATGGTGAAAATTGATCCTTAGTAAGGATCATTAGTGGTTTCATTGACTGTAGGAAGACACTAACCCGAAAAGCATCACAGAGCGTTTCGTTTCCAGTAGGGATTGGATTACGGAATTTTCTTTTCTTAACCTTCTCGGAGATCATCGACCGAGTTGTGAACGGTACAGCTATGGAAGAATCTCGTTCACCGTGAAGAAGGAGTTGAAAGCTATCTGAAAAAAGAGTTATTGAAGCATATACACAATTTGTCCACATTACGGGCAATATAGCAGCCGGCTTTTCGACTGCATTTATTAGCACGAAATGCAAGGAACTCTGAAGATTGAATTTGAGCTCTCAAGAAAGCAGGAAACGTGAGCCTGTTGCTGCGATTCTCCTCCTTCTACAACTTACCGTTGAACATAGAATTCGCGATGAATCCACATGGAGCATACGTGATGTTGCGAAAATCGTCTAGGTAATCCAATGGGTCGCAACCGGACACCTGAATGACTGACAAATAGAAACACTGACCAGCGTCGCGTTTTCAATGAAACATTTCTAGAGAGAAAAAGGGAAAGCATAGAGAGAAAATAAAACGTATGATCCCTCCGAAATGCAATCCCCTCCACATTTTTTGGGTTTTTTTCGGGATTATTTCTATATCTGGATAACTGAATACTTATCGTCTCCGTCCACTTATCGGTGGGCAAGGGAAAGATACTAGCTGTTAAAGCAACAGGTTAATTAAAGGAATCTTCCACGGACCATGGACCAGTGGGCGGGACCGGAAGTTTTTGTGACGAAATGCATGGTAGGTACGGATCCACGTGTCGAACGCACGAACGTGAACAGGATTCACTTCAAACCTTCCCATGAACGTGGATCCGTACCTACCATGCATTTCGTCGCAAAACCACTTCCGGTCCCGCCCACTGGTCCATGGTCCGTGGAAGATTCCTTTAAGTCCAGATTCTAGCTTGAGCAAAAATTACAGCTGTTTTTTCAGTCTCATGGCTCTTTGCTGATTATTTTTGAAGATTATGATGTAATATGAAAGCGCACAATCTCTTGTACATTTTGATGTACAACACTTGTGTATTTGCTTCACTCTGGAGCTTACACGCGAGCAAAAAAGATTGCTCCTGCTACATGAGTGCAAGTTGAGCTCGAAACCGAATGCTTCTGCATCTGCTCGTAGAATCAATGAAGCCTGGGATGAAGGCACGGTTGCAGAGAGGACTGTTCGAGAGCGTTTGTTGATTTATTTGTTGTTTTTTGTTTGGTTTTGTTAATAAACTTATGAGTGAAATGAATGAAATGGAATGATAATTTTTGCTCAACCTAATAATT